GGTAATGGTGTTCGAAGTGAATGAAATCGATTTGGAGTATGAGTTTGATGCTGCTCGTTGGTACGATTTCACTCGAGAGGAATTGGATTTGGAGTCTCGTAATGCTGAACTCTGGTTTCAAACTGCTCAATCTTACTCACCGTCTCGTGAGTATAGTCGGCAACTATATCATCACTCTTTGATTGATTTTGTTTTCGTGAAATGTGGGATAAAATTTTGATTTGTTACGCAATTCATGAAATGATAATGATGGGTGAATTTTTGACTCGAAATTTTAGGAATCTAATTTCTCGAAGTAATCGTCAATTCTTGTGTCTAGAAATCTGTTTTTTCTATGATTAAATTTTAGGATGTGCAATTCAATTTTTGGTAGCAAGCACTAAATTGACAACTTCATTACAAAATTGTATTTCGGGATCAAAAGGTGTATTTATGTTACTACATTGTGTGATTTTTCAGCTTTTGCAATCAAACTGTTAATGAGAGAGGAAGTCTCTTCAAAATCAGAAGATGTGGAAGTTACAGAACATGTCCGGGGGAGCGACCGAGAAATCAGGCAGCAACCAGATGTGAATGAAACAGGTGAATATAGGTTTGGATAACTGAAGACACTGCAAGTTATTATGGTGGATGTAAAATGGTGTTCTTGTTTTCTTTCAGGACATGGAATGAGGTCTGAGGTTTTTACATTCATTCAAGGTGGTAGTAGTTTGAAGAAAGTTCCAAATCAGTCTTTATCTAAAGGTGATCACTTTACTATCATGTGGTTCAACTAATTTTTTTTTTTTTATAGTTATAGATGTCATTTTCTTAACTTATTCAAGAAATGTATTTATGCGTAATAACTCATCTAATGTCTGATCTTATTTGGTATCTTACTTTATTGATCAGGCTCATTTTTCCACTACTTTTAATTCTTTAGTTTTGCTTTCTGTCTGTCCAAAGTCTCACTTTTTTTCTACTTGTACCAGGACCAACATTTAGCAATCGCATACACACTGATAAACTAAAAAGCCTACTGAAGTCGAGCATTAAGCCCAGAAGCTCGACATTGATGAAACCTACTGCTAGCCAATTGGCAAAACTAGATAGTGCCAGGTGACTATGAGAATCTGATCATTCTTGGTATCTTTCTTCGGTCAACTTGATTCGATAAACTTAATACTTGGTCGTTTTGTTGATCTCCTAGACTTCAAATGCAAGGAGATCAAGTTAAGGAGAAAGGCTTGTGTCCTTCATCTGGATCTGAAAGTCAAGCTGCTAAAAGACAGAAGCTTGATGGAGGTCTACTTCGTAAGGTAGGGTGTTTGGTAGTTATGATTTAAGCTTTGACTAGTGGCAGTAAAAGAATTTGTGGTAAGCTATTTGTTGACCTATAAATAAGCTCTTTTCTGTTTCAGGTTGCTGAAACGACGCAGGAGATGAATTTTGTCCACAAGGCACTCAAGAAGGTTGCTATCTTTTTCTTGAGTACTCATGAACTTATCAAAAACTTGTTTGAAGAGAGCAGTTTGTAAGTTCTAAATCGTTTATTTGGTTGGGAAATGGTTTTGCAGGATCTTGATAAAAACTCTCAACATGCCAGGACGAAGATTACTGTCCCACAGGAGCCTGATTTTGCAACATCACATAGAGCAAATAGGATACGGTTAGGGCTTAGACATTGGCTGAGAGTAAATTGTTATTAGGAAACGTCACATCTGACAGGCTGTTGCACCAATGATCATTTCAGGCACAAGCACGATGCTAAGCTGGACCAGGACTCAACATCAGTATATAGATTCAAAGCACGGCCCTTGAACCGAAAAGTTAGTATCTGCTAATTACTTAACATGGAAGTCATTTCTTTATTGTATCCCAACTCAAGCATGTGTGTGTTGTCTGCAGATCTTTGAGGCTCCATCATTACCCATCCGGAAGAAGAGCACTCCTAAACTACCAGAGTTTCAAGTAAGCATTATAAACTAAATTGGGACTGTGTTTTCCAGGCTTAATAGTTGATACTTTAGATTAGTTACATTTCTTCGGGTTTCTTATCAGGAATTTCGCTTGAAGACCTCAGAAAGAGCTATGCAGCATTCATCAGCAGTATCAACGTCATCATATCGGGTGAATAATTATCATAAGGTTAAACATCAATTGAACATACTGGATGTCAAATCATGTTTACACGGTTAATTCATATCAATGTGTGTATCCGGGCATGAGATCCAATTGATATATATCTTTCACCTGGACAACTCAATCAGTCTTGAAATTTTCGTTTTGACAGGGGCCAGATACGCCTGATACGACAGCTTTTCTTGACGGTGTTAACAGGGAGCCAAGGAGGTATACTACCTATAAAATTACTAATCACAGATGATATAGAGTAATCTAAAGGATTTCTTGCTTTCTTGCTCCAAACTCATGTATGAAATAATTGTAATTATTCTGCGAGCTGAATTTTAACAGACCAAGAGGTACGGATCTACCTAAGGATGATGATGATGGAAAACACCTTTTCAAAGCTCGTCCTCTTAACAATAAGGTATAGCGTTTTCTTTTTCGTTGCATTTACCTTCAACAAATTTTTCATACTCATAGGTAACCTCACTCGCATAGTTTTTTCCGTTTCTATTAAACAGATACTTCCAAGTAGCCGCGATATTGGCATTTTCAGGAAAAGCAAGCGAGAAACTACAGTTCCTTTGGTATGTCACTTGGTGTCTATATATATCTATGTGGAGTTTTGTCCTACAATAGACTCACAAACTGTGCTTAGACTCAAACTCAGGAATTAAGTTGTGACTCGGAAAAGAGGGTTCAACCAGATTTACCGACCGACCTTTTCAGTAAGGTACGATTAGCAGCTTTCATACTCATTGGTTTGGTTGCCTCAGTGGCTTAAACTGTGATGGTTTCTATCATATGCTAGTTATCTGACGAACCTTTGGTTTTCTTCCTCCGTTTTACTTTACAGCTCTCCTTAACATCCGAGCTCCAGCTAAACAATGGCTCTCGCTTAAGATTTCCTCAGCCTGAACAAGTAAAGGTGTAACTTGTGATCTCATTTCATTTGAATTTCTGATCCTTGCTTTAAAACCATATTGAGTTTTACAATCATCTTATTTGCATAAGGGCTCAAAGGAAAATAGACTGAACTCCTTCCAAGCTGGGAATGAAGTAAGCTAATTGATTCAAGCCTACTACTTACTACTCACTCACAATTGTGGTTTCTTTAATTATTGACCAATAGTTAGTACATTGCAGAGAACAAGCAAGATTGCAGGAAAACCAATGGTACAACGCGGTATATGGACTACTCGGAAAGCAACAGTGCAACTAACCTAACAAGTAATATACAAAAGGACACTACTATTACTACCTTTCTTATATAAAAGGTTTCTTTTATAGCTTTGGCGATAATTTTTGTTTCCGATTTGACAGGAACATAGGAATTTGCTGACCGTAGTAATGGAAAGCCATTTAATTATATGAATCAGAAGCAGCCCCTGTTATTTTTGTACATTCGAGACTTGGTTCGAATCTCTTAGGTAACAAGTATTCAAAACAAAGGCTAACATTATGAAGAAGTAAAATATGTCTCACAGGTGGCTTTGGTGTGACATTGTATTTGTAGCCTTCAATTTTTTGGCCAAGGAAATGTAAATTTTGGATACTCATTTCTTGATATATGAATTTAAATTCAAAAAGATGCTTGATCTGGTTTCTAAACATCTATTTTTGTTTTCTCTG